ATAATTTGTGATTTTTCTGCAATTCTACACGAATCACACTTTCAACCAAATGTATGTGCTATGCATGAAATAATAAATTGCGCAAGAAATCTTGCTGAAATGCATGAATGGGTGAATGAATGAATGAATGAATGAATGAGTGAATGAATGAGTGAATGAATGAATCGATGAACGGAGGAATGTGTACGAATCTGTCAGAGTGCAAGAAATCATTCTTATATGAATTGATTCCAATCTGATCATTCTGTATGATTCTGCGTTCTCTGTCTCTTTTCCTCTTTCTATCTTTACCCCTCTCTCTTTTTCTCACTCTCTCAACTTTAAATAAGTTGTAGTGCACATGCATTATAAGTACTGCAAATTAAATACTAATCAATGAATTCTTTTTTTCGTTGTTTACTTTTCAGTCTATTTATATCTCAAAAACTGCAAATTTCAAACTTTCAAATGTTAATTCGTTTTTTCTCTACCTTTGTTTATTCTTTTTGCAATCTTTTCTTCACTTTCGATCGTTCTCCCTTTATTCCTTTCTTTCCCTGTATCTCTCTTGTTTTTTGATGTTTAACATTTGTCAATCACACTGTCATTCTTTGAGTAGTGTTATTTAGCTTATGTTATAATTATAATGTCTGCGTTTGCCGCGTTTTTTCTACTCTTTTTTTTTAGTACGAAAGGAATTTAAAGTCTGATTACTACTGTTACAGTGATGTAATTCACGTGACTTGTACGTTGCTTTACATGAAACTCGAGCTAGTCTACCATATGATGAAAAATAACTCACTTTCGAATTTTTAATAAACAACAACAAATAATATAAATGACTTGAGTTCATACGCGACAGGATGATCAGTTCTGTGCGTTGAAAACAAACCACTTAATAGCACGCGAAAAAATATATGCTTGCTTTGAAAACGGATAAGTCATAAATGCTGAAAGTAAATAAATTCAAAAACACTGCGAGGATATTAAATGTTCAGACAAGGAAATGTTGAAAAGTACTACTAAAAGCTTTGATAAATTTGAAAAATTTTCAAAAATTCTGATTCGAAATTTTTTAAATTCATCAGAAGTTTTTGTAGTACTGTCCAACGTTTTATCCTAACACTCAAGTCAGAAAACGTTAACATTAGCACGTTAAAACAAACAAGTATCATATTTGACGTAATAATCGTCGATTTTAAACTGATTAAATGCCTTATTTTAAAAGTGAGTTATTAGAATTTACGTGGAATTTGGTAAATGTCCAAGTTGATATTCTGGAGTGTTAGAACAGCCATTTCTAACTCAAGAAATGTGTTATCACTTTTTGCTCTAGGTTAATAATCCATACTTTTTATTTCAAACTTTTGTGTTATTTGATTAAATAAAATCTATTCAAGTCAAAAAAGTGTGTTGGCATTGTAAAATAGAAATATATTCAAAGCATTCATACGTTTGCAAAATTACTTCAGTTATTGAATGAAAGAAGAGGCATTTAGCCTTGGGTATATTGAACTGATATGTGGAAGTCGAGTTTCTATTCTTCACTTAATTCACTTAATTTTATTAAACTATTTTGCAATGTATGTTTTACTGATTTTTTTCATTATTTTTCAGGGTTTGCAATATTATATTTGGAATTAGTGTGGTGGGGGAAAGGTCGGTCAAGAAGAGCGTGGTCATGGATTTTATGCTGTCAAGTTTTCCAAATAAACGGTTATCAATTCCATTATTACAACGAAGAAAGTAGGCCTTTAAAAACTTTATACATATTTTTTTAATGATTTCATTTACACTATTTTTTTTTAATTTTTTGCATTGATAACTGTGCTAAAATTATTTGATTTTAAAACAAAATTTGTAAATTTTAGATGATACAGAAATAATTGATAGTAGACTTTCATATCAGTAAATAATATTTATTATTTTGAAGTAAGTGGTTAACGAATGGGTACAGTCATCAAAACAACAAGATGCTATCTTTAATTGACTTTCTTGGAAAATTCGACATATCTTTGCCACCAGAAGTTGAAGAAGGAAATATTGAATATAAGGTAAATTATAATTTTTGCAGGCAAATTATTTTATGCATTTCTTGTATTCTTGCGTTGCAGTTATTGCTGAGAAACTATTAATATTTTAAATAATGAAATAAGATATGGGCGAACTTAGTTGTATTTTAGTGCAATCTTTTTCTAAGTTTTTTAAAATTTGTATTTAGCTACGTGTTTGTATCACATTCATTTTCAACAACACTTATTTATTAGTTTTTGCATAAAATAACTGAATGTGTTCAATATAGGTGAAACTTGTCAATCCATCTTCAAATCGGCTGCAACATTTAATAACTCAGATGAAATGGCGTTTGCGAGAAGGGCAAGGAGAAGCAATATATGAACTTGGAGTGGCAGATGATGGTACAATGAAGGGTTTAACCGATACGGAATTAGCTGCATCATTAAAAACTTTGAAAGCTATGGCAACTGCTTTAAATGCAAGTATTGTCACGGTAAATTCTTTTACTTATATTTGTACAGTTTATTTGCAGATATATGTATATAATAGTTTTGGCAAAAATAAAGTTCATTTCAAGAGATATATAATTAAAAAATTAATGCTTGTTCAGTAGGAAATTCAAGTTCTGGTAATTAACAAGTTTTTTGGGTCACTAAATCTGCAGCCTTTAATAGCTCTTTGTTTTGTTTTTTTTTTTCAATCTCAAAATTCTGAAGATAAGTTCTATCATTTGGTCATTGTCATATTTAAAAGTATAATCTTTTTTGAATTTGTTGATTTTCGGTATTTATTCAGATAGGTGAACGTGATGTCACGCCCAAAAATTCATCATGTTGTCGACGTGTTGTTGAATTACTAGTTCGTAAAGTACCAGATAATCAACAGTTCGTTGAACTCAGGTATCGACCAGTTTTTAAAAGGAAACTCTATATTTAATTGTAAGAAAAACGTGTTTTTGCTTTTAGTTTTTTGTTGGAAACACAAGTTGTTTAGGATAGCTGTTTTGGGAGGTGCAAATGCTGGAAAATCAACACTATGTGGTGTATTAACTCAAGGCCATCTAGATAATGGTCATGGAAAGGTATTTTTCAGTGCTTCGAGATATCATTTCTCTAAGTTATTTTTCAAAACACTGTATTTTTTTAGGCTCGACTGAATCTGTTTCGGTATTTGCATGAATTTCAGACTGGTCGAACCAGTTCAATATGCTTGGATACAATTGGTTTTGATTCACTGGGAAAAGTAAAGTTTCCTTTATTATCAGTGCTAATTTGTGTGACATTTTTTACGGAAGTGATGTAAAAAAATTTACAAATTTACTGCCTTTTTTAATTTTCATGAATTATTACCAAATTTCTATAATTCTTTTTTATGGAATACTTATTATCAAAGATATTTTTTAGCTAATAAATTATTCCGATCATTCGTTGGAAGAAATCGCCGAACATTCAACGAAGTTGGTAACTTTAATTGATTTAGCTGGTGATAGCAAATATCTAAAAACAACAATTTATGGGCTTACAGGTGACGAATACAGGTTTTTAAAGATATTAATATGGAATTTTTTCGCTGTTTCTGTATTTTTTCAATCTTTTTAGGCTATTTACCACATTTTGCGGCATTAGTTGTTAGTGCTGTAACGGGTCCAACACCAATTACACGCGAACATTTAGGTCTTGCCGTTGCTCTCAATATCCCTGTGTTTGTTATTATCACAAAAATTGACGTTGTAAACAGAATCACCTGTGAAAAGTAAGTAATGTCACGTTTTCTAAAATATGTCAATGTAACTGGGTTATCAAATGTTTTCGATCTGTTCAGATGTTTTTTTTTGTGCCCACGTTAAGTAATGCAAGAAATTACTTTTTAATAACCCTTTAATAATTACAGAGTACTTAAGAGCGTAAAAAGGCTTCTTGAACGACCAGGTATGGAGCGAATTCCGCAGTTAGTCGAAAATTCTGATGAAGCTATCAAGTACGCTCTTAATTTCTTTTCTGAGAATCTTTAAATTTCAGTACTTGTCTGTGATGGTTTCTAAAAGTTATATTCTAGCTTCGCTACTGAAATGTTGGCCAAACATGTAGTTCCAATCTTTCTTATATCAAACGTATCTGGTCAAAATCTATACCTACTGGAGCAATTTTTAAATGTTCTTTCTCCTAGTAGTTTGTCAAAACTGGAGCAGGAAGGAATTTCTCCGCATGCTCCACTGTTTTCAGTGGAGGAAGTTTATCGTGTTCCTCAGGTTAATTTTTGATCTGCAAAAAGTTTTCAAGAATCTAGTCGCTGGACTCTTTCTTTTTTCTAGTTCATTTTGTAATTTTTAGGTCGGTATTGTAGTTTGTGGCATGCTAACAAATGGGGTGTTACATGAAAAAGATTCTATACAAATTGGTCCTTTCAAAAATGGTAGCTATCAGATTGGAAACATTGAAACTATTCGAAGAAATAAACAACCTGTGCAATTTATACGACCTGGCGAAGCAGCTTCTTTGGCCTTAACCCTTGATGAAAATATTTTTGATGGAAGCATACGACGAGTGAGAATTTTCTTCATGCATATAAAATTTCCAGAAGAAAGGATCTGTGTAAATATTTGGTGCTGATGAGATCAAGTAAGAGTAAAAAATAATTGTTTTATAAGTAGTACATGAACATAAGTACTTGCCGCTTCCATTATATAACGTTGAAGTGTTAATAATGAATTCAGTAGTATAGTGTATGCAGTCATAATAGCGTCGAATTTTAATTTGGCTCTCGTTTTTTGAGCAAGTTTCAGTGCATGAAAGAAGTAATTTGTCTGAAAATTGTTCTAAAATTTGGAAACAATTTATAAACATGAACAACAGTGATAGAAGCTTTGTACGCGAAGTCTTTTGTTTATGAGGTGGATTTCAAATTTTAAGTCTTCAATATTATTACGTTTGTTGATCGATGTACTTATAGGGTATGGTCGTGCTCGATGCTAAAGAAGAAGGGATATCATGTCGTCGTTTTACTGCTCGACTTTATCTGTTCCACCATCCAGCTAATGAAATTTGTGTGGGCTTCCAAGGAACTGGTAGATTTTACTTATTTGATTAATTTAATTCTCTTTCTGTTAGACTAATTTCTTGATCTCATATCTATGTTCATATAACTTTTGTGAGATTTTAACTTCATATTTTCATTGCAGTTTATGTTGGCTCAGTGCGTCAAACAGTCACAATAATAGAATTGGATGCTCCATCAGTAACAGCTTGTCAGTGGGTCACTGTTCTTTTTGAATTTTATAGTTGCCCAGAATACATCCGTGTTGGAACCCCGTTTATCTTTCATGAAAGTAAAACAAAAGGTGTTGGTGAAGTTATTCAAATACTCAACTCAAATTAGGGTTTTAATAATCACTGTATAGTATTTTTATTTTTACCTTAACTGCGATGTAGTTATTTCTTTTTACGCTGTACAGTTTTGTTTCTCAACAGTGGATGAATTTTTTTGTTATTGAGGCCGACAAGAATTTAATAACTGTTTCTCTTGCTTTTATACTAGTATAACTACACGGATTTTCAAGTGAGTAAATGATTATTGCTAGTTCATTAAGTTATTTGAGCTTATTTACCAATGTCCTAAAATATTTTGAACTTTTCATAAATCCCCTTAAATAATTCATCAAAATTAAATACTTCATCTCATTTCTTTTTGCCTGTTCTTGATTATTCCAATTTAGCAGATGGTTATTATCGAATTAAATTATAGTTGTAATAACAAATGTAATATTTAACTTAAAATGTGCAGCAGTGTTTATGACTAATTTTTATTTTATTGTACATATATTTTTTGTTTTGATTAAGAGAGTTTCTGAAGAGAAAAGTAGATTTAAAATATATCTGATGGTATTAAGAAATTTTAAAGTAGCATTCAGTAATATGGCTTGAGAAGGACATGATTTAAACTCAGATAGTAGAATAGATGTGCTAAGCGGTTTAAATACAGGGGAATCTCTGATTATTCTTCTTTGATACAATTGAATAGTAATGCTTCTTCAGATTACGTGATATCCTTGTATATTTTTCTGAGCCATACTTTGAATACTAATGTTGTGTACTGTACAGTCGGTATTACTTTTGAGTATTATTTATATTTTTTGAAATTCATTCTCAGATTATAAATGACTTTGTGTTGTACATATATTGACTTGTACATTGACTCATTCTAGTCTCGATTTTATGGCAGTTATTATTGTTTTAACCTTACTGGGAATGTATATAGTTGTAAGTATGTTCTCTTCATTCCTAATTAATGTGTATTTTGTTTAGGGAAATCTGAAAGTCTTTTGTTTATGTTGTTTCCTGGGCAGATCAGCGATGTATATGATGTATAGACATTTCGTGCGGTATATTTTGCTGCTTATAACTTCAATAGGTGATTGATTCTGAAATTAATGAACATTATTTTTGATTGATTCTGAATACAGTGAATATTATTTTCAATGTTAAACATTTTTTTCAATCGCAAAAAATTTTTGGTCCTTTAAATTTTTAAGGAAAAATAAAATCTGATGCTTTCATCAACCTTGAGGTCATCGACTTCTCTTTGTAGTGAAATATAAGCTAAAGACTGCTAGAAGATCAGAAGTACAAGCTTTGAATATTACTTGCAGTCGTCATATAAGGCAGACGGAACATATTTGCGTTGGTAATATTTTAATGAAGTATGCGATTAGCTTAATTTGTTAATGATGAGGTAAGTGGAATGTGTTTTTGATTCTGGCTGTGACGTCGCAAATAAAAGTTCTTAAAACTAGACTAGTGGAGAGCTCGGGGCGACTTTTTTTATTATGAGGTAGGTAGTCATTGGTCACTTGTCCAGTATTTATGAGTTTTATTCAAGATTTTGAAGTCTGTCAAGTTATGGTGAAATAGTTCTCGCAGTAATTATTTGTGTTTGAGACTGGGGTTCAGGGTTCAAGCGATTTCTTTACTACTTTTTTCGTTCTAGTATAATGTTAAATAAGTGGAAAGAAACTTTACAAAATGCTGAATTTTGTGTACTTGCAAAAATCTAATTTCAGGTGGAGAAGAAAGTCCTTTGTGATTCAGTGCTGATATAAACCATTTGATCCAAAATTTTTTACCAATTTCTATGCTACTTAAAACTTGTAAAATTAATTATTTTGAGATTTGCTACCGCACATCACTAAAATGCTACCGATTGTGTAGATAAAGTGTCTGAGAACGGTGTTCAAAAATTAACTGTATTTAGATAGTTAACTGTATTATAACTATCTAAATACAGTTAATTTATCTAAATTATTTAAATAGTCAA